TTTGCGGGGGACCCGCACCTCCGGCCCGCGGGCCCAGCAGCGCTTCCTGCCCGCTCCCGACTTGGCTGCGGAGAAGCGCAGGAGCCAGTCACCGGTGACCAAGAGCACGGGCGCGCCGAGGGTTTGGAGAACAGGGGTGCAGCCGGCGAGGGGCTGCCTGAACTTTTAGCGTCGGGCTTCGCCAGAGATAATGATAATGATAATCGGACTACGGGGAAAACATTGCCGTTTTGGGGCCCCCTTTCTGTGCAGGTCCAGGGCAGCCACCTGGTTCGCCCATGCCTGTGTCGGGGTCTGGGGGCATCATCCCATGTAACACAACTCTTTTTCCTCCAGTTCACAAAGAAACTAGAAGCTTTAGTAATAAGCAAGAGGCCTAGGGCTGGATTATTCAGTTCAAGGTTGAAGACATAGGCAACGCATAGGGAGGGCACGGTTGGGAGCACATGCCCCCCCGACAGGGCCGATGCTGCCAGCAGTGCCTGCGGGGGAGCTCGCCAGCTCTGGCCCCACCACCAACATCGACGGCAGCACCTGCGGGTGCCCCCCAGACTCGGGAGGCACCAATCGCCCATGGTCGAAGACAAATGCAAATGGGATGTCATGGCCATGAGTTAAAAGCCTTCTGCAGGCCTGTGAAATAGGAGCTTGGTGACCAGGAGCAGCTAAGCAGCAGCAGAATGGCAGCACAAAGGCTAGCTTCACCGATGGATCTATAAGATCATTGAAAAGAAGGGAGGGCCATTAGCCCCCAAGGAATGACAAGTTTTGAAGGGATTGGATAGATACAGGATGATGAGCTGTGAAGTCAAGTGTCTGCCTCAGCACTGCCTGACGAGAAATGCTGCTGCCAGTGCCAGGGTGCTGATTTTCAACTTGGGTGGAGCAGGAAACAAGCATGAATGACATGTGCCCTGGGTGGCCGGAGGGCCACGGTGACTGCCCACAAGCAGCGGTGGGGGCATGGCGGCAGGGAGCTCCTGCAAGTGGCCATAGAGGTGTCAGTGGTGGGGTGGGGTAGGTTGGGGGTGGCGAGCACTGACTTGTGGTCGGCGATTGGCAGCCGGCTGCAGATGCCACCAGCAGTATTGGCAGCGGGGGGGGGGGGGGGG